ACACGCAATACAAACACAACTTTTAACAAAATGTGTAAACGTAATATGCGGGTGCGGGGCCATGTGTGCGTCCGTGTGTGACCAGGGCGGGGACGCCACCCTATTGGCTACGGCCGCCCGTTCCCGCGCGCTCATTGGCGGAGGCCGCGGTGGGCGGAGTCAAGTCGCAGCTCGACGTTTCGTTTCCTTCCAGGACTTGTCTAAATGTTTTGCCTTCTGTGCGCGGTCTGCAATCCTCCACACGCCTCTCGCCGGCGCTGGCGGAGGCGGTGACGGGGTGATGCTGGAGTCCTCCTCTGGCCCCGGCCCCGACCCCCTGCCGCCCCCTCCCCAGCTCAACACAGCAGCGCACATGCTCATGATAAAGACATAATACTTAACTAAGTGGTTTGATTCTCAGTCGACTTCATGTCATCATTATTCCTCAGAGATAAGGTGCAGACGCTGGATGCACTCAACACAGCACTCTCAGGATGTTCGAAACAATACAAGTGCACGCTATCCTCTCACCAGAGCACTCGCGATCATTGCTAATGGCTCAGGGTATCGAGCTGCTCCAATATTTCATCCCCATCACATGCAAACATGTTAGTGCAAATCCAACCGCAACGTAATATCACCTCTGTATTTCACTGTACGTCAAACACGAGCTGAAAAAAGGCTATTGTTATACACTAAGGTCCCTTCATGAACACCATTACTAGACACTATGGCCCTTACACTATACCTTGATCTGCATGAGTACACAGTGACTGCTGTTCGTCATACTTGGTATTCATGACCCCTATTGATACCATTATCCTTGAGGAAGGTCTATGGATACACTATGAATGGAGCTTTTAGAATAAACATTACACTCAACAGATTTGGACTTCTACTGGATTTCGTATACCTGTAACACACACTATAGCCCGTAAAACACTAAGTTCTAGGTACAGTCCGTGACAAAATCTATAGACTCGCCCCCTGTCCCTGTACAATGCGTACTTAGGGCCAAGCTATCCTGGAATATTTGTATAAATATACATTGCCAAGCTTAGTAATGATTTATAAAACCTGTGTATATTAAGCAGTGAACACTGTGTACTAATAATGTTATCATCTTTTAGTTATGAATGATAGCAGGAGAGAGAGAGAGAGAGCGAGAGAGAGAAAGAGAGAGAGAGAGAGCGAGAGAGAGAGAAAGAGAGAGAGAGAGAGAGAGAGAGAGAGAGAGAGAGAGAGAGAGAGAGAGAGAGAGAGAGAGAGAGAGAGAGAGAGAGAGAGAGAGAGAGAGAGAGGTTGATAGGGGAGGGTAGAGAAAGAAGAGGCAAGAGGTAGAGATTGAGGGAGGGAGAGAGAAAGCGTAGAGAGTGCAGAGAAGCAGAGGAAGGGAAGGAAAGCAGAAATGGAAAAAGGAAGAGAGGAAATGAGAGAGAGAGAGAGAAAGAGAGACAGAGACAGAGGAAAGGAGGGAGGAAGATAGAGGGCGTGATATAGATATAGATACAGGGAGGGAAGGAGGAAGAGAGGAGGGAAGATCATGGAGGGAGGGAGAGAGAGAGAAGGAAATGGAGAAAAAGAGAGATAGAGATGGAGGAAAGTGAGGAGAGAATAGAGGAAAAAGAATGATGGAGAGATAAAGAAAGATAAATAAAGAGAGGGGGGAGGGAGATTGAGAGAAAGAGGGAGGGAAGATAGAGAAGATAGAGAGAGAGAGAGAGAGAGAGAGAGAGAGAGAGAGAGAGAGAGAGAGAGAGAGAGAGAGAGAGAGAGAGAGAGAGAGAGAGAATCGAAGAGGAGAGAGGGGGTAGAGAAGAGAGGAGAAAGACCTCAAAACTTTTTTCATTTTTATAACTTTAAATCTCTCTATTTAGGGAGGGAGAGAGGGAGGGAAAGACGGCTGGAGGGATATATAGAGAGGGAGAGGGAGAGGAAGAGAAAGAGAGAGAGGGGGGAAGAGTAAGAGGGGGAGGGGGGAGGGGAGGGGGAAGGGAGGAAGGAGAAAGAGAGGAGAGAGAGGTGAGAGAGAGAAAAAAAAGTAAGGGAAGAGAGAAAAGAGAGAGAGAGAGAGAGAGAGAGAGAGAGAGAGAGAGAGAGAGAGAGAGAGAGAGAGAGAGAGAGAGAGAGAGAGAGAGAGAGAGAGAGAAGGGGGAAAGAAAAAGAGAGGAGGGTGAGAGAGCGAAATGGGAAGAGGTAGAGATAATGGAATGGGAAAGAGAGAGAGAGAGGAGGAAGAGGAAGAGAGGGAGGGAGGGGGAAGAAAGGGAGAGGAATATATGGAAGGACCTCCCTCCTTCCATATAGGAGGGAGGGAGGAGAGAGAGAGAGAGAGAGAGAGAGAGAGAGAAGTGAAATGGGCAGGTCAACAGAGAATAGAACAGAGAGAGAAGAAAAAAAGAGAAGAGAAGAGCGAAGGGGGAGAGGGGCATTCACCTGTTACTTACTATAATTAGAAGGAGGTTCGTCTTCCATGTCCAACTCCACAGCGAATAGCCATCGTGGTTCGCTTAGGTGAGTGAGTCAATCAAGTCTAAAGTTATTAATATCATCCAGAGTGGAGGTCCAGTTGGGGGAAGCCGCTCAGCGCCCTCGTCGTGAGTCTTATTTCGGCCTCGTTACGTCGATGGTCGGCCGGGACACGCAGGGCTCCTCGTAATGGTCCCCCGCTCGAGGCGTGCGACCCGCCTTCGCGTGCCCACACTCACGAAAGGGGCTCCTCGAACGGGTCGTCTCCCCGAATGGGTCTTCTCGAACGAGTTGTCCACTCATTCAGGTCGACTCCTCGCACAGGTCGTCTCTTCTAACAGGTCGACTCCTCGAACAGGTCGACTCCTCGAACAGGTCGTCCACTCATATAGGTCGTCTCCTCGAACAGGTCGACTCTTCTAACAGGTCAACTCCTCGCACAGTCGTCTCCTCGAACAGGTCGTCTCTTCTAACAGGTCGACTCCTCGAACAGGTCGTCCACTCATACAGGTCGACTCCTCGAACAGGTCGACTCCTCAAACAGGTCGTCCACTCATATAGGGCGTCTCCTCGAACAGGTCGACTCTTCTAACAGGTCAACTCCTCGCACAGTCGTCTCCTCGAACAGGTCGTCTCTTCTAACAGGTCGACTCCTCGAACAGGTCGGTCGAAACAGGTCGACTCCTCGAAAAGGTCAGCGTCTCCTCGAACAGGTCGACTCATACAGACTAACAGGTCGTCCACTCATACAGGTCGACTCCTCGAACAGGTCGTCCATTCATACAGGTCGACTCCTCGAACAGGTCTCCTCGACTCACGATACAGGAAGTCGTCATTGTCACTTGCGACTATCCTGCAGGCGCTTACGGGGCAACAGCTGAATTTTGTAGACTTTAGGGCTAAACCTTACATAACTGACTGTAAATTTAATACAGAAGCAGCTCACACACAAAGCTTCCTTTCTTCCTTTTCTTTGAGCAGATGAACATCATTCTAATTCACAGAATCATGACAAATGACTGTAAGAAAACATTAACGAGATAATTCGTTTCAAAATGCTAAAATTGCACCCATTTAAGTCATCAGCTTAGTGCAAAATCTACCCTAGTCCGTTTCAATAATAACCAATGTATTCATACCCAACAATTACCAAAACGGATTACCACCAAAATGTCTTAAATTGCATAAAAAAGTAAAGAGAAAAACAACCCCGAATATTAAAACAAAACTTGTTCACAGCACAACACGGAAATCATAAAAGCTTCAATATCCTTAACACAGCATAACAAACAGCTCAGTCTCACACTATCTCCGGAGTCTTGTCAAATTGATTCGTTCTATGCCATAAGGAAGATTGCATCCGTACATAGTAAAATACCACAAGGGGCTGTATTACTGGACCATAAAATCATTAATATGCAGCAGAGTTGTATATTTTGACAATTAAATGTTAAGGCCACAGAATTCAGCATACAAAGCGGGCTGCCAGGTGAAGCCCATCCCCTAATAGCCAAGTTTCCAAACAACAAACTGCCACTACACAGCGTGACGTCTCAACACTCCACATAATACTCCTTAGCTCTTTTCGAAACGCTGAACACATTATTGAATAACAAAATGTCACACCATCTTATGCGTACATCATCCTTTAAAGATAATTCAGTTAAAGTACAAATTACATAATACATCACCGATATATTACATATACTTGCATTCTACGTGGCAATCTATTACATACAATATTCCCTTTACATTGGTGTCACTATGCAACAAGCAATAGGAATTCCATCAAAGAATAGGGGAACGCGTTGTTCTCCAAAATGCTACAACGCACCGGACTGCAGAAGGACAGAGTGGCAGAGTACAAACGCATTCTATACACCTCTACACTGAAAGGAATCTCATACTATTCCACGGCATGACTATCACAAAACATGTTACATAATAAATCAAAAGTTGTAGAAACTAGGAAAACATACTCGCCAGCAAAATAAATAAATAAATAAATAAATAATAATAATAAAATAGAAAAATAAAATCTACAACGGCAAGACCCTCCTGCAATACCCTGGCATCAATCTGCATAGCATTTTCCCCCATGATAAACAAAAACTAAATACTAAAGCAATAACATATTCCTGAATAATTTTGTAATGCCATTCCAATCAGCCTGCCACAACGGCTTCTCGCCAGCCGTTATTTATTTTGTAACTTTGTACCTGTATGCGTACCTGCTCATGTGCGCGCGTATACATTATATGTACTTGGCTGCGAGTGTGCGTTCGTGTGTGTGTTCATCTATCAGTGAGCTTCAGATGACGTCGCGTCTGACAAGTCCCTATTGGCCCTTTCCTATAGTCAACAAACTCAATCAAAACGAGGGACACGATAAACGTCGAAGGTGTCATGCAAGGCAAGGAAATGAAACCGTCGAATGGTGCAGCCAGCTTGTGATTAGATCCCGTGCCCGGATAAAGACAAAAGAACCCCACGGAGGCGAGTGTGCGGGGAGAGCGGAGGGAAAGTGCTGCCGCGGGACCAGTGGAGTCATC